TGGGTCCTCTGGAAGAGCAGCCAGTGCCTTTAACCACCTTACCACCCCAATTCATTCTTAAATTATAAAAATGACATTTATTTATGTACTAGTATGTGGGTATGAGCATCCATAAGTCAGAAAATACTTGTAAGAATGAGACATCTCCTTCACCTCGTGGGTCTCAGGAATCGAACTTCGAGAACTAAGGGCATCATGCTTGGTAAGAAGCACTTTTGTCCACTGAGCCATCTCACTTGCTCCAGATTTCCTTTCTTTTTCTTTTTCTTCTGAAACAGGGTCTCAGTGTATCCCAAACTGGATTTAATATGAAATTCTTCTGCCTCAGTCTCCCAAGTGCTGGAATTCCAGGAGTGCACCAGGACATAGAGCTTCCTAAGGGATTTGATTTGGGTAGGTGGGAATAGGCCTTGGTGAAAGCGACAGGACTAAAATTCCCTATGTTTTTCCTTTCAAGCCCTGGGGTGACAGAACAATTGCTGTCCCCTGAGCTTATCCAGTCTTTCCCTAAGCCCATGGCAGGTGAGGATCTGGCTATCCTCTGACCCTTGTGTTTAGGCCTATCTGTTTATTCTTCTACCTTTCCTCTCACTGTGGTCCCATAATCACCCATCTAGCACATCACTAGACGCCTGTTGTGTACAACTGCCCATGTGGACTCAAGGGGAGACACCAGCATTCTTTAAGTTTACCTTTAGCTGGAGAAGCTGCCTTTGGGAGTAATGTGCATATTAGCAGGGGGCCCCAGCACCACTGACTATTGAAACAGGGGAAAGGTAGATAAGAATTTGCTAGGGGAGTCTGCACTGGGCTCGAAGAGTTGGTTGGTGCTGGTGACACTGGGGAAGACTTTAGACCAGTGGTTCTGTTCCTCATGTTGTGGTGACTCCCAACCATAAAATTATTTTCCTTGCTACTTCATAACTGTTATGTTATGAATCTTTCTGATGGTTTTAGATGACCTCTATGAAAGGGTTGTTTGACCCTTCCAAAGGGATTGTGACCCATAGGTTGAGAACTGCTACTTTAGAAAATTTTTCTTGGGGCAAAAAGGATGGCAACTTCATTGAGGTATCATTTTAAGGTGTAAATTTGAGGTTTGATCCCAATGGCAAGGGTTTTGAAGACTGGGTGTGGTAGGGGAACTTATAGGGATCAGTGGGAAGTGGGTAAGTAGGTGGGAGGGGCAGGTGTCTGGAAGGAGGTCATGTAGATGGGCAGGTTTAGGATCTATTATATGATGGGTATGCCCCCTTCCCTTCCCCCCCCCCAGGAAAAGCCAACTTAAGCAGCTGACCATCTCTCTGAGACACAGGAAGTAGAAAAAGAGGATAACAGCCAAAAGACAACAGTACATATCAGCAGGCCAGGTAGTATGTTTGGGGATCGCCCATCTATCACAGGTTAGGAATATTGTGCCTCTGTGGGTCACTCTGTCTTCTTATGTCTGTCTGCAGACCTAAGATGGTTAAGATGTTTAACATGGCCATGATAGACATGAACAGTGAAAAAATGAGGCAGCAGTTTGCAAGATGACAGGCATTTGGAGACATGTGTAAGCATAGTGGTTGGGAAAAGAGCAGATGGAGAGAGCCAAGGAGCCTATGGGATAAAGAGAATGTCTTCTTTTGGAGGAGGCCTGAACTGGTTGAAGAAGGGAACATTTTAGGTCTTTGAAGAAACGTGGCCAACAGCAGGTGACTTGGGAAATGCAATGGTCAATGTACTCAACGTAGTGGCAAGACACTTGAGGATAGGTTGGAATGACCTTTGCCAGGATCAGGGTTCTTTTAGATACGGACAACACTGGGCCTGGTGGTCATGGGAGCCATGGGGTACAGGGTCCTAATAGTTTCTAAGAGAACCAATCCAGAGTTTAAGCACCAAGTCAAACTTGCTATTCACCATTTCTTCACTTAATGGTGTAGAGAGGAGTTTTAGTGATTGACAGAAGCCAACTCAAGCAAGTTAACACACCTGGCAATTCAAGGACTACATCTTCATGCATTGAGTGTTCCTGGAAGAGTCTTTCTTTCATCCCCCTCTTTTTAAATTAGTTTATTTAAATTTCATTTTACATTCCAATCACAGTGTCTCCCCCATCCCCATCCACTCCTCCAAACTGGTAAGGGCTCCCTGCATGTATGTCAGAAGAGAGGGAGAGATCCCTTGGAATCAGAGTTACAGATGGTTGCATGCTGAGAACCCAACACAGGTTTTCTGCAAGAACAAGTACCCTTAATTGTTAAACTAATTCTCCAGCAGGCCCTCATGCTCCCAGTTTTTTTGTTTGTTTGTTTTATTGTTGTTTGTTTTTGACACAAGGTTTCCCAGTGAAACCCAAGAGGCTAGACTGGAACTCATGATCTACCTGCTTCAGCCTCCCAAGGGCTAGATTATACACTACCCATACCACCAACTGGACTCCTCTTGTTCTTGAGTTTCATTTCATCCTCCAGATCCTGTAAATGCAGGGAACAGGATGCTAGTAGGTAGCCTG